TCACATAAACTAATTCCTTGAAGTAAATCAATCAAAATATCTCCCTCTCTCCCTCCCTCCCTCCCTTCCTCCCTTCCTCTCTCTTTCTTTCTCTCTCTTTATTTCTATAATACATACATTCATAGGTCTCTCTGTATCTGTGGGTTCTGCATTTGTAGATTCAAGCAACTGTGGATTGAAAATATTCAGAAAAAAAGTGGCATCTGTACTGAGTACGTATAGACTTTTTTCCTGTTATTATTCCCTAAACAATGCAGTATAGCAACTATTTGCATAGCATTTACACTATATTAGTTATTTTAAGTCATCTAGAGGTAATATAAAGTATATAGGAGGATATGTGTAGGTTTTCTGGAAACACTATACCACTTTATTTAAGGAACTTTAGCATCTATGAAACTTGGTATCTCAGATGGAAGGGCGGTCCTAGAACCAATCTCCCACAGATGCCAAGAGATGATTTTGTGTGTGTGTGTGTGTGTGTGTGTACGCGCGTACACATGTATGTCTCCTACCAATTCTGTCTCTCTGATAGAATCCTGACACATTTTTAAATTTTAATTATACTTAAAATATGTACCATAGTAATCAAGAACTTCATTTATTATCTTGTGTTTTTTTTTTTTTTCCTTCATGGGTGATTATCTTGTTACCCTCCCACACAAGCCTGGGCATTATTCCCAGCACACCAGGTATAAAACCTGTGCCTGGGCCATGCGTATATGTCAGTTGATCATGGTAAATCTCAGATTTTAACTAAAGAAAGTAGAGGCGAGAAGTATTTCAATAAATGGAATTCCTTTCCACTCTGTCTGGGTCCTACTCGCCTGTGATTCTCAGCACATGGTTATAAAAGCCAGGTTTTGAACAGTGATCTTACTGTTCAATTTTCTGGAATCTTTTAACCACTTGGGGCTCTTCCTTTGTACATGTGACTTGAGAATTTTACCATAAAATGAAGGAAGTACTGATAGATGTTAAAACTGACCTCGGGTCAGGTTCCATTATCCAAACAAAAGTGCTGTGCTCCATCTATTTTCCAGGAATCATGTGTCAGTTCAGTGTTTTCAGCATAAGCACTTGTTTCTGCCTATTCTGCACCATGGTTACTTATTGTAATTGTTATGATAATTTTAGGTCACAAATGTCACAAGGCTTTGGGTGGAATTGAACTCAAAGAGGGAAACTGAGCTGAATTGAAACATATCCTAAATGTGAAACCTGTAGTTTAATGCTGAGGGCAATAGGGAGAAACTCAAATGTTTGCCTCAGCAATGTGAAATTTCAGTCGGCAAGAAATTGAATTGAATTGAATTACCTGCAATTATTTTCTTTCTCTGGATTCTGCTTCTTGGTTAAAAACAGACTTTGATAAATCTACTTTAGAAATTCCACAGGGGACAGAAAGGAGTAAGGGAATGAAGATAGCTAAAGGTTCTTCACTCTTCTAACTTGTTCTACTGATATATAGTGACTAATAAAAAATAGACAGCCTTAATCTAGATGAAATGGGAAGGAGAAAGGAATATTTGGGAATCGGAGGGCATGAAGTTCCCCCAAATGATGATGCTGTTCATACCATCCCTCTCAGGCTTTAGTTGGGGTACAGTAAGTTCAGATGATAGGAATCAAAATTTAACTACTCTTGTGCTGGGGGTCTAGCTCAGTGGTAGAGTGCTTGTCCATCATTCATGAGGCCCTGGATTGGATCCCCCAGTACAAATAAAACTTAACTACTCTGGTAGCTCACCTTTTGTATATTTTGAAATCCTTTAAAAATCAATTCTAAAAATACTAACCCCAATTGTAGAAGAAAAGAGCCAAGCCAAATAGCATAGCAAGCGTAGAGTGGCTTCCATATTTGCATCCTTCACAGTTTGAAGGCTAAAATGAAAACTTTAGGCTTTTTTGGAATGTTGATCTGAAAACCAAGGCTCAGGGAGGGTCCTCAGGGCCCCACCTGGATGCCTTTCACAGCATTCCGGAGCCTACAGGGTGCAGGAAAGCACAGCCAAGGCCATCAGGCAGCCTGGAGAGAGCCCCAGAGCCACTCCTTCCGCCCCAGTGCTTGTCAAGCAGGGAGGGGCAAGCAGGCAAGCAGGAGTGACTGTTCACATCAGATGAGCTACTTGATGGTTCTGGGCATTACCACAGCCACAGGCCTTCTGTGGATTATTTCCTCCTCATTGAGGCCCCTCCCTCCTTACAGCTTAGTTATTAAAAGTGAAAGGAGGTGATACTTGTCAGCATTTGAGTAAACTGGAAAAATTACTTTGCTCTCCTTAGTGGTCCAAATGAACACATGGTAGGATGATTTAGAATGATTAGAAAACCCAATGAGATAACCATTGTTCCCTCCCAGATCAGCAGAAATTTGCAGGTATGATGACATTCATCATTGGAAAAGACACAGAGAGATGGGAACCCTTCTGACGTGGTGCCAGAGGCAGGCAGTGAACATGATGCAATGCTTTGGGGAACAGCTTAGCATTGTCTAGTAAGGTGCAGGATGAAGAATTGCCTGCTGTAGGCTTCAGCAGTTCTATTTGGACATGGGTCAGAGCCATGTACAAGAATATTCGGTCTCCCTATATACAGGAACCATATATTAGAAACAATCCAGATGCTCATGAGCAGTAGGATGGATAAGTAAACTGATTTATTTTCTTTGTACCAAGAATTGAACTCAGGGGCACTTAACTGCTGAGCCACATCCCCAAGAGCCTTTTTATTTTAAGATAGGGTCTTACTAAGTTGCTTAGAGCTTTGCTAAGTGGCTGAGGCTGGCTTTGAACTTGCAATCCTCCTGTCTCAGTGTCTCAAGCCACTGGGATTAAGGTGTGCGCTACTACATAGGCATAAACTGTGATTTCTATACATCAACAAGTGTGGACAAATGACAAACTACAGCTATATATAACATAGGGGTGTGTGTGTGTGTGTGTGTTTTCCCCCTCTTTCTTTCGGTATTGAGAGTAAAACCCAGGGGCCATCTCCCACTGAGCCACATCCCTTCTTATTATTTTATTTTATCTTGAGAGGCGGGTCTCAGTAAGTTGCCCAGGCTGGCCTTGAACTTGTGATTCTCCTGCCTCAGCCTCCCAAGTAGCTACGATTATAGGAGTGTGCCACCAGACTCAACTGGTGCATCTTTTTTGATTTTGTTTTTGCAACCCAGGGCGTCATGCATGCTGGGTAAGCACTTTGTCACTGAGTTATGCCTCACAGCCCTAGGTACATCTTAAAAACATAATATTTAGAGATAGAAGCAAGTCACTCAAGAATGCATACCATATAATTTCATCAACTAGAAGATTTGACACAGGCAAAACCCAGACTCCCTGTTGAGGAATGTAAACATAGATGTACAATCTCAAAAACCAAGAGTGGTTATTAAATAATGTTAGGATGTTTATCTCCAGGAAGGAGTGGATAGGATGAACTGAGGGAGATGGGTGTGGTGGTTTAAGGGGGTTTCCTTCATACTTATTCTCTACACCATAAACTTGTGCATGTCTTTATATGTTTATGTCTTGCACATGTGCATACACATCCAACTAGATGGAAAGTGGTTCTTTGAAGTGGAGTTGCTCAGTCAGACATGGCTTGTACTTGCCCCTTGTGGGTGGCTGGGCTATGTCTTCATGTTGGTTCTTTGACTCCATTCTCTTGAACCTGTCTCACCAGAGTTCTCTCAGATGAACTGGTGGTCCAGACACCCACACAGATGTGAGATCACCTGTGTGTCTTCCTTAGCAGTGGGGATGTGGGTGGTGGTGGTAAGGTATTGCAAATCCCCCACCCATCAGCTGTCTTTGAATTCTGGGAAGTGTGAAGTCCCAGCAGCCCCCAATGACAGGGGGTGCTCCAGTCTCTGGGGCCCCAGACCTACTCAGGATGATTAGAGGGCAAAGGGTGCTACCCTAGACCATGGACCACCAAGGACTACCACAAAGCCTCAGAACCTTCCCTTAAGCTGACAAAGGCTTTCTTCTCAAGTAGAACCTCAGACAACTCTTTCAGGAAAAGGCAGACATAACCCACAGTGAAGGGAATGTGCCTGGTGGGCTGCTTGCCTGAACCTATCACTGGGAGTCAGGTGTATTCTAGTGTGTGGATATGCCTCTTGGGCACAGGAACCAGATCCACAGCCAAGGGCTGGCAGGGACCACCAAAGCTGTCAGTAGAAAAGGTAGCATGGTCAGTGGCCTCTTAAGATGGCAGACCCTACAGTGGTCCGTCTGTGAAAGAAACTACTCAGGAAAGAAGACCCAGAGCTGCTGATTCCATAGTAATGCTACTAATCTGACCCCTGAAGATTTAGGGGAAAATGTTAACTTCTCTCACGTTGAAATGCCCAAGGTACAAAGATTCTTGGTGGGAGTGAAAGGGCGGTGAATTGCTGGATCATGCAGATATTTATTTATGCATCCCTGCCTAGTTCCTAAAGTCACTGGAGGCAGCAGCTGTATGAAGAATGAGCCAAGAAACACACATGGTTGCTTGCACATCTAAGCTAAGCATACAACAACTTGCTTCTTGCTTTGCAATTAACATTTGCAGAAGATTCTAGGGCCCCACCTTGGTGAACAAACCCTTAGTTCTAAACTGCATTTCATCAAAAAATGATATTTCTTATAAACTCATTAAAAGCAGAACAAGGCCAGACTTGCAGGCAGGTAAAACCTGAAGCACCTTCCACTTCTTTGGATAGAACTTATCTTATTCCTCACCTCCTAGGCAAATATCCAGAAAGTCCGTCTTCCCTTCTCCTCTGATACTTGGTCCTCATTCTTCCCTTGCCCTTCACCCTCTCCCATCTCTAAAGCACATGGTCCATTGGCTGTAGGGTATGGATGATGATCATACAGATTGATTGCTGGTATGGAATAGGTGAATGGGTATTTCAGGATGTATACATGTGTGTGTGTGTGTGTGTGTGTGTGTGTGTATCCTTTCCAGAGAACTCATCCCTGTGCTGTCCCCTTTTCCCCATGTAGGAAGGAGTAGTGACTCCCTGCGACCTGGACCTTGTCATGTCAGATGGGCTGGGCATGCGATATGCATTCATTGGACCCTTGGAAACCATGCACCTCAATGCAGAAGGTACGCATCCAGGTCTAGGATGGGAATTTTGTGCTGTTGAGTATTTCCATGGGTTTTATGAACAGTTGAATTTTGCTGCTTCTCTTCCTCTTCCTGCTCCTCCCAAACCCCTGCTCCCAACAATTGAATAGAAACAGTGGTATCTGTGGGAGACAATGACCATTCCTGGTAATTCACAGATCTGGGCTGGGACAGGGAGCACTGTGCACTGAGATGTAAATCCACATGAAATCTGGGAACCACAGGGCTTTGAGTGGTGAAGACCACTTGGGTGGAAACTAAGAGAGGGACATGATGTGATAGGGACTTTGCTATGGAAGAAAAAGTGGTATTTTTCTAAGGTGATAGAATTTTTTACAAAGACAAGAAAAAAATGGTGAAAAACATGAAAAATAGGAGTACAAACTTAACCCAGAAGAGCCTCTACTAGAGGTATCTTCTGCCTAAACATGGAGGGGGGGGGCTACAAGTGTACTTCCCTTCCAGAAGGCTGCGGAGCCATGAGGCTTCCACAGGGCAGGACCTGGGATAGGCATATAGAAAAGGACAGGGCAGATGTCTGCCCTGAAGCTGACTTCAGAACCCCGGGGGCGGGGTGGGGGGGAGTCCTTACAGCTTGTGATCTCGTAACTCTACAAGAACTTAAGAAGGACAAGAATGAATTCTATCAACAAGATTTTTAAAACAACCAATAAAACCTATATGGCATTTAAAACAACCAATAAAACCTATATGAAATTAAAATTCATTAAAAAAGCTACTTATCAAATCTGAAAATAAGCCACCTAGATGTTGTGGCTATCTCTTGGTATTAAAATGATAAGTAACTTTTATTTTTGCTTTTCTTGTGTTGTCATAAATTTATACTATGTATGACTTCAGCAGAGAAAAGGAATATTGTATGCAGCTTCATGGTCTAGATTTAGAGCAAAGGACTTTGAGAAACTGGGGCTTATCTAGGAAAAGGTGACCAGAGCTGTACCTGCATGTGTGTTCCTGTCTTTTGAAGGGGTAGAATCAGAATAAAAGACTAGAAATGGCAGGCAGTCAGATTTGAGCTTCCCACCTTGTACTGGCAGTAACTGGAACCAGCATCCCTGGAGGGACTATGCTGAGTGGGTGGGTTGAGAATTCATGTTTAAATACTGGGAGGACATTCCTGCAATGAAGTGGGAAGTTCGAGTCGGTGACCTCTTAGAGTCTGTTTGACTTCAGTTCTATAATCACATGATGCTTTGCAATAGTTCAGTCAATTTTCACTACAGTAGTGATGAAATATACTTTCCAATAAATAATTCAAGGCATTTTTACAGGACATATTCTTGTATATGGCAGATGCACATGTGTTTTTGTGAGTGGCCTGGCCATGTGTAGCATGCAAAATGCACTCCAATAGCTTACTCAAAGTCAACCATTGCTAAGAGCATCTGAAGGAAGAAAGGGACCTTCCAAGCCATTGGCATGCCAATTTTGTAAAAGGATAACCATTGAACATAGGAAGATAATGTAAAGAATGATATCTTTATACAAGGGAAATAAGTACAATAATTTTGAAGTATCATTAAAATGGTCTTGGATAATTTCAAATGTTTTTTTTTCAACCAGACTTTATAAGTGGTGAACATATTCAAGCATTTGAAAGGTATACACACACTGCCTGATAACCACCATAATTTTCTTTCTTTTTTTCTTGTGAAAAATAAGATAATTGAAGTATCATGAGAAATTGATAGGGAGAAGACTGAGAACAGCTTTGAGTCTCAAACAAATAGAAACAGAAGCCAATGACATCAGAAACTCAAGAATCAAGTGGGGTGGCAGACAGGAAGGAGGCCCACAACAATTTTTCAAACAAAGCCGTTATGATAAGAAGACCTAATTGGCTTAATATGATAATGGGAGACGGATGTAGTTTTCAACTTCAGAGCATTCCAAAGCCCAGAGTTAGACAGTTATAAGATCTGGCTGGGAACCAATGGAAATGTTCATTATTCTTCATAGTGTCACCCAGAATATATCAAGATTGGAGTGGGGAGGCTTTTTCTGTTTTTTGCTGATATTGTTTTCATAAAGCTAAGCATCTCAGGTTAACGGGAGTTCTTAGTCTTAAAAGCTACCATTTATCTATAACTAGTGCAAATATTTTAGGGATTTGTTTTTAATCTAATAAAATAGTACTTGAAAAACAGGAGGGCAGCATGCTTACTCTGCCATGAAGTTGATGAGCTTTCAGAATAGTGGTTCTGGCCTGTAGAGCCAGTTGGCTGGGTGCTACATTGGCTTTCCCACTTTCTATCTGTGTAATACTAGGTAAGTCAACAAATTCAGCGCACCTCAGTCGTCTCACCTATAAATTGGAACTGACAACAGTAAGGAATTCCCAGGGATGGGTAACCAGATGAGGCTGGTGTAGTGGTGCATGACTGTAAGGCCAATGATTCAGAAGGCTGAAGCAGGAGTATCTTAAGTTGAGGCCAGCCTCAGCAATTTAGTTAGACCCTGTCTCAAAAAATAAAAAGGGCTGGGGAAGTAGCTCAGGGGTTTAATCCCTAATACCAAAAGAGAAAGAGGAAGAAGGAAGAAGATGATGAAGGGGGGGGGGGGGGGGGGGAAGAAGGGGGAAAGGGGGGGGAAGGGGAAGAAAGAAGATGAAGAAATAAAGGAAATTAGAAGCACTTAGCTGGGTGGTTGGCACAGATTAGGTCCTTAACAAATGTTGTCTTCATACAGTTTTATTTTGTTTGCTTAATTTATTGGTCTTCCACTATTTTTGTTTTTAGTTATTTTTTTTCATCCTCCTGAAAATATTTACACAAGCATAAGAGAGAAATACAGAATAAATACGGCTTAGAACTTTTTTTTTCCCTGTGGAAGAGAGAAATCTCAGAATCAGGTACCTGGTTTAAATGTCTGGTTTGTTTCTTGGCTGAGTTTTACAGTCCCACTTTGTCCCTGTTGGCTGTTTGGGTTATCCTTGTATTTTCTTCTTTCTTTGAAAGGACAGTGTCTCAGGATTTGGTAGTCCCTGGAGTTTACCTCCAGGGTAAGTAAGTGATTGTTTACCAACTTGCCTCATAAATAAATTTCCTCTTTTGTGTAGACACCTATCTTTTTTTCTTCTTCTTCTTCTTTTTTAAAATACAATAATCCTGTTTTTAAATTTTTTTTTAGTTGTCGATGGACACAGTATCCTTATTTTATTAATTTATGTGGTGCTGAGGATCGAACTCAGTGCCCATGCATGCGAAGCAAGCACTCTACCACTGAGCCACAACCCCAGCCCCTCTTCTTCTTTTTTGAGTGGAGGATGCATGCCTGGTGGGTTGGTCCATTTATGTGGAGCTATAATTTGCCAATACAAACAGCTGAGCTGATGGGGGCCACAGGGGCTTGGTGACTCTAAATGGGCCTCAGGTTGGTTCTGCCTCCCTGATCTGGGGTGAGTTCTCACTCAGGTTTGGTAATTTGATCCTGAGAGGAGACATTAGATAATATCACTTGGTGTTTTCGGGCCCTTTTTGATCTACTTTAGTAAGCTCTGTGAAATTCTGTCTCTTAAAAAACAGGTGAATTTACGTAGGTGTGGATTCATAAACTGGGTAAAAATCAGACTCCTCCAGTGAGGGTAGTAATTGAGCGGTCTCCAAGAAACTGAACACCCAGAGCCGCATATTTGGCTGCCCAGTATATGTCAGCTGTGTGTAGCTATGTCCCAGATCTTATTCCAGGGCCCACTCCTGCCCCTTAAAGACAAGCAGAAAGGCTTCCTGCCTGGGCAGCTCCGGGTAGTTGGTTCAGAATCACCCACAGCCTCACCCTAGGAATCTTGAAGAATCCCAAGTTCACATGAAAAGCTAAATCTAATCTAATATAAATCAATTATTTTTTCTCTTTTTCTGAATAAGAAATTTGGTTCAGAGGCCATTGAAAAGCTAAGTTCTCCAAGGGTTTTGGAAGAATGGAACTCAAGAGAACAAAGGACGTGGAAGTATAGGAAGAAAAATATAGGCGAAGGCTAGATTAAGTAGGAATAGAAGGTGAGGATGAAATAGTAGGATGAAAGGGGGGTTGTGTTGTGCTTTTCTCATTTCTGATGAAATTGGCATTTTAGAGTAATTTCCACTCAATTCTCCTCTCATGGTGTACATAAGCCAAAATTTTGTTGAGAATAAGTAAAAGCCCCCTTTTAGTTTTGTCTAAAGTGGAAGGAGAGATGTTGCAAACTCTAGTAACCATCATGACGTACTGGGACATTGTTGTTCATGATAGCCATGATGTGGGTCATTATGAACTCCTTGTATTGGGAGACCCAGGCGAGCCTTGACAGGGTGCTGGGTGCTCTGTGGATGAAGGTGGGGGGCACACACACACACACATGGTACTGGCTCCTTAGTTTTGCCACAGATATGGGACTCTTCATCTCAAGAGATTGGAGTACATGTCACAGAAAGGGTTTTTATATTAGGAAGGTAGAAATTTTAATTGTTTTCATGAACAAATGGAGGGGGATTATGAATTGTATTTGTAAAGAATTTCACCATATTTCTACATTGAAGAAATGAATGTCCCTTTAAATCTTACAAATTTTACAAAAGGCAGTGGGGGGGAGTTCTAGAAAGTCTCTGGGATATTTGAATGATTTCAGGGATAGTGAAAGATGAACACTTTTTCAAGGAATGTAAAGTAACTCAGAGACGATATGCGGCACATGAACTGAATCTCCTGGCGTTGCTGCTCATGTGGGAGTAGGAGATGGAGTTGATGCCTGAGAGGATCTCGGGAACTTCTGCCTTCCCTATGTGTGGGTGAATACGCAGCCACAGCAAATTTTCTGTTAGGGTTTGGATCTTAAGTGTCCCTCAGAGGCCCATGTGTGAAATGCTTGGTCACCAGCCTGTGGTGCTGATGGGAGATGGCAGAATCTTTAGGATCTGGGGCCTAGTGGAAGGAAGGGAGGTCACTGAAGGGTGTGCCCTTGAAGGAGATATTGGGGCTCAGCCCCTGCCTCTCTCTTTGCCTCTTGGCCAGAATGGACTGAGCAGCATTGCTCCAACAAACACTCTACACCATGATAACACTTTCTCACCACAGGGCCAAATCAGCAGAGCCAAATGGCCATGTACTGAAACCTCTAAAACTGTGAGCCAAAATAAACCTTTCCTCTTTTTTAGGTTGATTCTCTTAGGTATTTTATCACAGTGAGAAAAGCTAATTAGCAAATCATCTCATTTAATATCTTTCCAACTTACTCATTTCTTTTGTCCCTGATTTGTGTTTAGATTTTATCATCTTTTGTTTGAATAAATAAATAGAAAAAATAAAGTAAATACTTCATTTGTGAAAGGAAATAAATATATAGCTTGTTTTCTGGTCTCTAGAAACATTAAACCCTCGGAGATTACTGGTCAGTCCTGGAACATTTACAGAAACTTCCAGAATTCTGAATTGCCAAGTGAATACTTATGTGAAATGAAATAAAACCCCTTCTTTAAAAAATTATCCATCAGTTAATGTAGTTTCTGATGTCAGAAAAGTTGGCAAGTTTGACTATTTTACCCTTCAAAACACTGTCTCTTCTCAGGGACTTTAGCACACTGAGAGAGAAGGAAAATTATTTGAAGCAAACAAAATGGAAACCCAGAGAATTTTGGCTTACACATCAATGCAAGTCAATCAAAATTAAATCCCAAAGAAGCTTTTTATTTGTATTTTTTTTAAAAAAGAGTATGTAGCACTAATCTTTTTTTTTTTTTTTTCACACACAGTTTTCACAGAGTAGGTGAGAGCCAGGCGTTAGGGTCTCTGCATTTTCATTTGTACCCTCATTATCTTTTTAGCCCTCATGACCCACTGCTAAGGCTTTGTGGTTTTGAAAGATGTTGGAAATGGGCCTGAGGGCTTAGTGGTTGACCTCAGGTTTAGCAGGCACAAGGCTCTGGGTTTGATGTCCAGCACCACAAAAAAGAAAAAAATAAAGAAATGGGCGAATGATGGAACAGCCAGGACTTAGAGACATCTCAATCTTCAGGATCCTAGGCCTGACTTCTAATACCTCTTGTCTCTAAGCACATGCCATAGCAGCCCTGGGTGAGGAGGAAGCTGGTGCTGAGTGGACCAGGGCAGGTGCCATGGGTGGACCAGACTTGTGCTATCTTCTCTGTGGATGTCTGATTCTCAAATAGAGCCTTGGCTTTAGTCCACATGGACCCATAGTGATTGTGCTTGTTCCTCCTTATCCTTAAAGGATAAACCTCATCTTTGTTTCTCCACCAAAATTCTAGGGCTACATGTTAGAATCCAAGAAATTGATCAGCTTTTGGAGGGCTGGGTCAGCTATGCCTGCGTGCTTCAGGGCTCAGGCCTACCTGACCAAAGCTTAAGCAAGTGATAATACAGCCTATCTGCATGGTACCTACCACCTCATAAATGCTTGCTGAAGTGATAATTGAAGTGTAAGTGATAATGACTTATGACCAAGGTGAATGAGACCTTGACTTGAACTTTGACATCTTTGGTTCATAGACAATGTATTTAAGCCCTGCACATAAGTAGCCTTAAGTGATCTGTAGTTGGAAATGTTTTCTGAGAAGTGAGGGCTTACTCTGATATTCAGCAAATCAGTGTGAATATCAGCCAACTGAGTGTCTGTGGGATATGCCAATGAAGGTGACATACCAGGCCCGAGGGACCCAGAATTTTAAGGTTCAAGAGAAAGCACAAGATAATAACTAATGGGAAGGGTCTTCCTTGCCCAGGGCTAACAGGTGATGCATCTCCTACCTCTGTTTTTCTTTATCACCAGGGGAAGAAGAATGTAGCTAACTTGTCCCCAGGCAAACCCTCTGACCAGGTGTTTCAGTTTGGAGTGGTAGAATATTCTTGCTGATACTATGGATCTTTTTTCATATCATTTTAGGATTTCTAAGCTACTGTGACAGGTACAGTGAAGGCATGAATCGTGTCCTGAAGACTTTTGGACCCGTTCCAGAGTTTTCCAGGGCCACAGTTGAGAAAGTTCATCAGGTATGTAGACTCACTGCAGAGAAGTGGGCTGGCCTTTCCCTTCCCTCCGCCTGGGTTGGAGCTTTTAGCTGGAATCCTGGCCCTTGATTTTTTTTTTTTTTAATTTTAATTGTAATACCTTTATTTTATTTATTTATTTTTATGTGGTGCTGAGGATAAACCCAGTGCCTCATGTGTGCTGGGCAAGCGCTCGACCACTGAGCCACAACCCCAGGCCCACTGGACCTTGATTTAAAAAAAAAAATACACACACACACACACGCATGAATTTAGTTGTAGATAGACATAATACCTTTATTTTATTTATTTATTTTTATGTGGTGCTGAGGATCAAACCCAGTGCCTCATTCATTCGTGCTAGATGAGTACTCTATCCCTGAGCCACAACCCCCAACTCAGCCCTTGATTTTTTTTCGTTTTTTTTAGTTGTAGTTGGACACTATACCTTTATTTATTTATTTATTTATATGTGGTGCTGAGGCTCGAACCCAATTCCTCTCACGTGCTAGGCGAATGTTCTACCCCTGAGTCACAACCCCAGCCCGCCTCACCCCCCCAACCCCCAGCCCTTGATTTTGATGGTTCCTTTTTCTTGACTTTGTTCATGTTGCATGCTGTCACTAGAAGACCTTAAGAGCAAGATTTGGAAAGCTTGTGTTAATGGAGGGTTTTCTACACTTTTTGTCTTTGAAAGCAATGTATGCACAGTTTACATAAATAGGTAAAACATTTATACTCGTGGCAAAGTATTTCCTCTTCATGCTGCATTTTTTCCTACCACTTTTCCCCTTGCCAGGCCATGCACATGAAGGTTCCTGATGACCCAGGGCACCTGGCTGCCAGAAGGCAGTGGAGGGATGACTGCCTCATGAGACTGGCCAAACTGAAGAGTCAGCTGCAGCCCCAGTAAATTTCTTGTAATCTACTGTCACTCCTCCATTAAAAGTTGTGTTCGGGAAAATTAAAAGCACTTGATCCAATTTCTCTAAAGCAATGAGAAGCCCTAAAGATCTAGCACTTACTCCTCTGCATTTAACCACAGATGACAACAGAGGCCAAATATCTCCCATCATACGAAGACATAACCCTGGACTTGGATATCACAATAGTTCTTTGGTTCTAAGGTGTGGGTTTCCTGCCACCTGGGCAAATAGTCTAAAGATTTTTCACCTTTTCAATGCAATTATATGTGTCTATATTTTACAGCCAGTGATTGTGGTTTCCAGCTATTTTAATCTATTAAAATATTTTTGTAATCATTTTCTAATCCCTTTATGAGTGGTCTGTGGCCCTGCATTTGTGAGACAATTACCTTCATTTTGATGCTTATTCTGAATAAAAGTTTTTGATTCCATAATGACATCCTTTTCTGCATGCTTTTTCCAAGAACAACAGTGTTCAGTCTTGATGCTTGGCATATTTTGGAAAAATCACAATGAATGAGTAATAAACAAATACTTTGTTCTGGGTACTTTATCATTCAGTCAAAATCCACCAGTTTAGGCCAGGGTTGCCCAAAGTTGGTTCCATGGGGCCCTGTGGTTCTCTGGTCTGATACATTTGAGAAACAATGATTGTCTAGCTCATCGGGACTCCTATTTTGGTAGCAAATGAAAGGATGCAAAGTTCCAAAAAGGATGTCTATTAATTTTAACCCATCATTCCATTATTTTCTTCAAAAGAATAAAACAGAATTGGTGCTCCAGAGGGATCACATACACAGGGGAGCTTGTACTTGAGAGGTGTACCCTGGAAAGTTTCAAGAAGTTGGCTTGTGAGCCTGGTTTTGGGTAACAGGTAAGAGTCAGCCGCCGCTCCCAGTAGAGGGAGAGGGTGGGGAAGGGCCCCAGTGCTCTGGGAGGGAAGGCAGCTCCCTGTTGCCAGAAAGGAGCTCTGGAGGGAGGCTGGCTGGACCTGATGGTGAATAACCCTAGCGGCTATGCCAATAGTTATTCATTCACCTACTCAGACCAAAACAATCTGGGTAGGGTCAGGATCCCAGCAAGTGCATTCTGTCAGCAGAAGGGACCCTACTGGAAATGGAGCTTGCTGTGGTCCTGGTGAGGGCTATAAAGGCAGGAGATGGATAAAGATGCTAGCAGGGTCAGGCGCCCATGTTGTGCCAGGTAAGAAATGAGGAAGGAAATTTGAATGTCCCAGATATTAAAACTTTACTAAAAAAAAAAAAATAATGTGCCAAGATGTGAGGAGGATTTCAGCCTAGAGAGGGCTCCTCCTTCTCTTCATCTGATTAAGCTTCAAGCTCCCCTTCAACTCTTATGACTCAGCCCCTCATTCTTCCTGACTGCCTACTTTATGGAGCAGCAGGCAAGCCCTTGCATTTCCCTACAGCTTTTGGCTCCTGCCACCCTCCCTGGTCTTGTCTGCTGAATCACTGTGCTATTCTCAATGCCTCTCTGATTCCGAAGGCTGTGTAGTCCCCAGATGCAGGCATGGGGCACTGACGTGAGGATGCCCTTGTGGGGCAGTGGGGCACACGGGGAACCCCTCACATAGTCTGTCTGCCTCATAGCATCAATGAAGGACTGGCCATGGGGCTATTGGGCCCAGGTATGCAGAGGCAAGGCCCTGGGAGAGCCAGGCAGCCACAGCTAAGGGGCAGTGTGATGGTGCTTTGTGGCAAACAGCTGTGTGGGAGCAAACTCATTTATATCTAAGTTCTTTTTAGCCACTTTTGTTGTCAAGCATTTTTGTGTGAGTTTTAGGCATGTTCTGAAATAGAGTTGGTCTTCAGTATCTGAGGACTCAATCAACTGAGGATCAAAGATATCCAGGGGGAAAAGTTCCAGAAAGTCCCAAAAAGCAATATGTACAATTTTTCCTCCTCCTCATTACTCTGTAAGCAACATAGTCTAATAGCTATTTAGACAGCATTTACATTGTCTTATGTATTATAAGTCATCTAGAGATGATTTAGACTATACAGGAGGATATGCTTAGATTCATGCAAATGCTACACTAAGGGATTTGAGCATCCATAGATTTTGATGTCCACAGGGATCCTGGAACCAATTCCCCCAAAGATACAAAGGGATGATTGTATACAGCTGTGGAAATGCCTCTTGGTCTTGCTTTTAGCCATCACAATATATGATGAGGAGTCGTCAAAGAAGTGATGTGATATGAAAATGCTGAGAGATTCTCATCTAAAAGTTGAAAAAAATGAGACTTTTCAAACTTGAGAACACATTTGTGGTTTAGGACTCATTTTCAGAAAGATGATTCTGGAAACAACTGGTTCATCAGAAATTGCTCTGACATGGAGCTGTAAGGAAAGCCAGGGATATAACAAAAACCCAAGCAATCTTGACTTTTACAGAAAGATCATCAGACAGAAAAATGAGCAAATCTGCTTGTGAGGAGGCCTTTCTTACTGCTAGGGCTGCTACTAATGGGCTTGGTTATTCTGATGAGTTCAGCAACTGTGTAAGTCCATGTTCTTGTTTCCTCATTCAAATCCTCTTTCTGTCCAGAATTTTGTCCAGGACACCACTGTGCACATCATGGTCATGTATGCCCAGCCCCCCTGGTCTGTGCTGGTTTCTCAGTCTATCTTGCGTTTCATGACTATGAGAGTTTTGATGAGTCCCAGCTCCCTGAGGACCCTGTCACCAGTCTGATGTTTTTTCCCATGGGTAGACTGGGATCAGGTTTGTGATTAGGTCAAGTGCCCTTCTCATCACATCCCATCTGGGGCAAGCAGTCCCCAGGAGACGTTACTGGGAATATTGACCTTCAATGCATTAGTTTGCCAGGTTCCTCCCCTGGGAGTTATTATTTAGAAAATTGAATGTTAATTAGAAAAAATAGCCTACTCAAACATTGTCCTGATGGCTTTCTGAATTATTTTCTCGGCATAGCAAAGCTATAAATGTCCATCCGCACAGTGTAATGCACACTCAGTTCTTCTCGTGTTGGTCTCTGAGTCCAGTTGTCTTTCCAAAGTACCCACAGTGATCCATGTGCACAAGGATCTGTTGTTTCATTCTGAATGCTTATCTTAGAGATGAGCAGTGGGGTCTAGTTTAAAAGGTCCAGAGACCTTTTAAAATGAAGACTGCACTGTGTGGCTAGGTTTAGCTTATTGAACAAAGACAATAACCCTATACCCTGAATAAGTGACAACAACCTTGAGACTCTAACCAGTAGCTTAAGAAGGTCTCAAAAGTCTGATATCAATTTGCCAGGAGTAAATGAGAGCATCACCTCCCATGTTGTAACCTCCCTCACCACAAAACAAGTGGGCTAGTCTTTGGCATGTCACAAGCCTGATTGGCAGTGATGGCTTTCATATCAGAAACTTTGTTTGACTCCCAGCTTATAATGTTGGAGGTACTGTCACATCATATGCTATGATGGTTCCAGGTGGCAGTGGTGTCCATCTGGTGGCATCTGGTCTTGGTTCTATTTAGTTCTATCAGAAAATAGGCCCCAATCAGTGACCACATCGTCATATTAATAGTCATAATTTGTTTCCTGGCCCCAAAGAGTGTTGTCTGTAGTCTGTGGTTTTCTTCTAAATGGCTCATCAGGTAGCTAGGTCATCCAGGGAAAGTTTGTACATATGCAGTTGATGAATGACAGGGGGATTTTCTCATGATGATAAAACTTGAAATACAGATATCAGAACCATAATGCCAGTTTTACTAATTTTAAATGGATTAATCTAACCATGGGCCAGGCAGTGCTGCAAGTCTTAAGGACAGAGAAATAAACAAAACAAGCCCCCCCCCCCCAAAAAAAAAAAGCCTTTGCTCTCTTTGCTCTTGGACCTTATCTTTAGCTCCAAGGGGGAAAAGAAAACATAAATCAATTGGAAAAATATAGGATATATCAGAAGGTAAGTAGTTATGTAGAAAAAAGTAAAGCAGGGCAGAGTGATAGGGAGTACAGGTGATATGTGTTTGCACATGTATGTGCTTGTGCACAATTTGGAAGAAGTAATTGTTGAATGCTTGATGAGAAAAGAACATTTCAGCAGAAAGAAAGTGAGGGAAAAAGCCATGGTGAGATATGCAAAGGCCCTGAGGTAGGATCTGAATTAGTGTGTCCAAGGAGCTGCTAAGGGTCCATGTGACTGAGTGGCAGGAGGGAGGGAGGAAGTAGTCAGGGGAGATAGGGTTGAGGCTGGGCCTTGAAAACCAATTTGAAGACTGACTCTTATACCTGCAAGGAATATTTCAAGCAGGGTTTTCAAGGCAATCTCTGGCTTGCTTTGAGAAGGGACTATCTGAGGTCTGGGTAGAGGAAGCTGAGGCTCTCTCATCATCATCTCTGTCAGTCAGAGATGACAGCAGAGGTTTGAAGGAGGTGGGTGGCCGTGGTTGAGGTAAGAAGTAGCTGGACTCTGGAGCTGTCTTGTAAAGGCTGGGCTGACAGACTGGATGGGAGAAGGGGAGAGAAAGGTAGTCCAGGAAGACTGCAAGATCTGTGGCTAGTGCAACCAGAAGAATGGAGAGCTGCCATTTACTGGGATGGGGAAGATGGGTGGGTCAGAGAGTAAGACCCAAGTATACTTAGAAAGTTCTCAGTAGCTTGGATTCTGATCAAGAAGAGTGGTAGATGCTTCTGGGCTGTTATTGTCCACATGTGGCCCCTCTCATCCTCAGGTGCCACCTGCTGAGTGGAATGAGTCAGGCAGGAAGGAAATGCTTTGTCCTGCATGAAAATGATGGAAACGAAACCCTGGGGCAGGGCTCAGTGGTGCATGCCTGTAATCCCAGTGGCTTGGGAGGCTGAGGGAGGATATGAGTTCAAAGCCAGCCTCGGCAATTTAGCGAGGCCCTAAGCAACTCAGCAAGACCCTATCTGAAAGGGCTGGGGATATGGCTCAGTGATTAAGCACCCTGGGTTTAATTCATTGTACAAAATAAAAATAAAAATTTAAAAAAACCCTCAAAAGCAAAAATACACACACACACACACAACAAACAAACAAAAAACTAAAAACCAAAACCACACACAAAACCTCACAAAAATCTAAAATTATAAACCAAAGCCCTGGCTCCCCAGCTCCCCTCCAGATTCTCTTACCATTTTGTCTTCAGAAAGGCGAATACACTGATTCCCTTGCAGTTCCCTGGTCATGTGTTTCAAGCAACAGCTCTATGTTTAGGAATTGTGTAGGGTCTAGGTTATAGCAATGAGTTGACCTGAACCATGATGAGTGCACTGTCTGAGACAAGAGGGATGGATGAAGAGACAAGCATCAAGTTGCAAGTGCAATGATAGACCTGTGCACAGGGTGTCCTAGGATCACATAAGAAGCCCTGACAGCCTGGTGAGGGGACAAGGGATGTCAGTGGGTGTATCCTAAAGCAAGTGATGTCTGAATTATCA